CGCTTGCTCCCTCTTCCCCCACAACCATGCCGAGGGGGGCGAAAGCAAGCAGGAGTGGACAAACAGCTAAGCAAATCGGGCTGTATTTTTTGCTCCATTAGGCAAAGATGAGCCGAGCTTTAGTGTGCAAGCTGGTCAAGCACCTGAGGATTGAAGGCGGCAAGCAAGCGAGGAAGCTCAAACATGCCGCTCGCTCGCCTCAGCTTGACAACAGCTCCCGAAAGCCGCCCAGGTGCGCTTTACGGAGATCGGGCCGGATAAAATGCATCATGGGACACGGACTAGAAAGTGGACGGATGCTGGGAGAAGCTGTCACTGAGCTAAAAAATGCTAAAAATACAGTGATGGCCCCGCATCCTCAAATGACCTCGTCCTCAATTTTCATGCCTCAAAAGTGCAACAAAAATTTTTTAAAAAATATGTAAATTGAATGCAAAGAATGAAACAGATTTTGCTTCCTTTAATGGACATTGTGCTGTGCCTTCTGGTGATTGTGCCACGGACCCTGAGGGGCAGCATAATACGGACAGACACAAATAAGTTTTACAATAAAGTGTTGTAATATTAGTCATTTTTTTTCTTTTTACACAAAGGATAAAGAATATATGCCTGTGAGTATTGTTATATTGTCTGTCCACCTATGATGCTTCACCGTTTGTGTTGAAATATCCACTGCTTGATGGATTAACACAATTGCTATTCTATGGATCATCAATAGCTTGATGAATTGCTTGTTAGCATTTTGCACAGCTTTGTTTGCTAGCTTTATCTTCTGCAAAGATTTGAGATGCAGATGCCCATGTAGCGGATATTCATCTCTTTTTGTCTTTTATTGCCCCCAGGTGGCCAAGCTGGTTGTAGCAGAGTGGCCATTTAATTGAGGCAAAATATCCCAAAAACAGTTACATTCTTTTCAATTCGATTGAATTATGTCATTAATTTCTGTTTTAAAAATAAGTACCACATATTTTTGCGAGTGCTGCTTTTTTTGTTGTTTTTTTTTTGTTGTTTTTGTTTGTTTGTTCGTTTTTGCCAGGGTGGCTAGAACAGATTAATGGCATTTCTATTCATTTCAATGGGGATAGGTTGTTTGAAATCCAAGTGATGAGGTACGAGTGAGGTCCCTGAACAAATTAAACTCGTCTCGCATTGTGATTGGAACAGCGGCGGTGCAAACGCTCGTCTCTCGGCATCGGCATCGGAAAAACGACGTGAGGCACAGCTGCTCATTAGTGGCACAAACAATACAAAGCTGCATCCAAACAATTCTGTTTTCACAAGTGACAAGAAGGAAAGGCGTCGAGGAGACCTTCGAAGATTTGATTTGTGGGAATTACGGGGACAACGGGACGCCATCAAATCGTGATGAAAAGCTTACGAATGAAGACACAAATCAGAAAGCGACATTGTCACGTCTTGCTTTGTGACTTCAGCATTGCACGACTTGCATAAATTGAGCCGCGCCGATGGATGCGTCTGCAGACATGGTGCAGTGTGGCTCAAGTTCACAGAGTGTCACTACATGGGTGGACACGACAGAAAAGCAAACACTATTTTTTACCGCGCACCCACGCTATTTGCAGGGACTAAGGTCTGGGCCAGCCTGCGTAAAGCCAAAATCCACGTCGAACTGATTCCCATTGAAATGATTTTATTTCTTTATTTCACAACAAACCCCCTCAAATTATTTTTGGAAAAAACTCTGATAAACATTCAATGGACGTTTTATTTTACAAACGAGAGAGAAATGGTGGGAGGCAAAAAAAAAAAAAAGGTGAATATGCTAATCCATGGGTGCCCAAACATGAATATGCAGAAGTCAAATTTTCCAATTTCCATCATATTTTTCCTTCAAATTGAGACCATCCCCTGCGCTCTTATTGTGACGTCGACTTCCCACGTGTATTATTTTCACTTGGATTTTGGGGAGCGCATCTTCAACTCAGCAGGGAAGCATTTCGTCCTGCTGAAAGGCGAGCGCGAGAGCCTTAACGGGGCTCGCGCTGGAGAACACGCACCGATATTAGCACCAGCAGGTTCCGCGCGCTTTCTTTCGCATGACCCGGGGCAGATCTTTCTGCTCGCCTTCGCCGCTCCCGATGTGCCGGAGGAGCATTCATCAAATACGATACAATTCCACTTTTTACTAGACAGCAAGGTCAAAGCGTTTGTGAGGCATACTAGACTGCAAGATGGATGCGGTGCCGTTTTCATACAGCAAAGAACAAAAAAGAGGCTGCACGCCAATCGTTTAGGTAAGACTACGCACCAGGGCAATACTTTTTCAAATCCAATTTCTCTCTCAAGAGCAATGTTATAAATCGCACTAAAAAAGTGTAGTTCAGTCACTACTTCAACGTAAAACACCGAACTAGCAAAACAGCTTCACGTGTCTTTTTCAGGGTCGGTGTCACGCATTTGTTGCTAGGCGGAATTTGAAGGAGCGCAATATAAATATTTTTTAAAAATTTAATATAAAAGGTCGTCGTTGCTTTGACCTCACAAACGCTGATGGACAGCAGACAGACTGATAACATAGCATATTGCAATAGCAAATGGCATGTCATTTAGAAATGTCAAAGGAACTGCAAACATCTTCGGAATGTAACGCGCCGCTAAGGCCGACTTCAAAATCCAAGCCCACCAAATAAAACATTGACGGCAAAACGTGACTTAGAAGGCTTTTATGTTGCAGCCTGCCCGCGTGGTGGCGTGGCAGCCAACTTACTTGTCTTTGACATTTTCGCTTTTTATTTGCATGACATAGTTGCTGCCCTCATCGACACAAATGCATCCTGAAATCATAGTAATGGCTCATTTCATTTCCTATACATTTTCTGTTTTCTATTATCTATGATATGTGCATTTATTAATTAATATATTGATCTGCTGTTACCCACTGCCTAATCTACCTGGCAACAGTCGAATAAGGCGGAGCATCGGCACTGAATTATTTCCCCTGAAAACACTGCGTCCAAAGATGTACGTCCGAAAATGAACCGACAGCCGTCACTCTCTGTAGGCCTAAAAAACAGGACTGAAGAGGATTTAACATTCAATAAGCTCCAGCAACAACTAGTCTGAGCTTGAAATCGGTCTACTTCCTGCTTGCACTCGTCTTCCAAATTTACAATGTGTAAAACTAAAGTGCTCCACAGTCCAGTGGAATTTCCCCTAATATAACCGGGAGGCAAAACTAAATTGAGCTACAAACTATATCCACCCCCTCCCCCCCCAAAAAAATAAAAATGCAAACCTGGCACCAGAGATGAAGGGGAATCACTGCACTTCATTTCACAACATGGCCTCCATGTTGCGAAGCCAATCACGTCTTTGACGCCAACAAACCCCCTGCCCCCGCCCCCCCCACCTCCACCCCCATTTCATCCCTGGCAAAACAGAAGCTGTTGGGGTAGCAGTGTGTTATCAATGTGCAGCTGCAGTAATCGTATTATTTGGTAATCTCAGTTGTGAAGGGCTGACCAGCAGCGAGAACAAAGCGAGGCCTCGTTCAAGCCATCACGCTGATCCCATGGATGGAAGGTCTTTTGCTGCTCTAGGGCCCTTCTAATACAGTACATCACACACACACACATACACACACACACCATCTTTTTTACTCTCCCTCCCAACCTTTCCGTCGCCGTGACGCTCCGAGCTGCAAGCCGGCGTAATGCCGTTATTCGCAGCTCATTGGTCTGTTTGACGGGACTATCTTGATTGAGCGTCTCCCGGGTACAGTCGTTGGGGTGGGGTGGGGGGGCTAGGGGAGGTTCTGCGATTGCGACAGTGTATAAAGATGTGCATGTGTCCCAGGAGATAGATGGGTCGATGCAATGTTACGGGGAGGTGTGGGGGGGGGGGGTGCATCAGATGCAACGGGAGAGGAAAGGAGGCGGAAGCAATGCGCGACGCTCTTGGGCGTGAAATGGATGCGGCAAAGTACGAGTCAGGGAATCAGGAGTCGTTCTCATTAGCTGGTTCATCCTCGATCCTCCGTGACAGAAAAGTTTAGAAAAAAAATGCTCACAGAAGCGGGGAAGGGGAAAAAAATTCCGCTAATTAGTCCATATTAACCTCAGGTCTAATCCGAAGGCTAAAGGCTAATTCAAGAACCTGATAAGATGAATGCAAACAGATGGCCTAAACATTGCTGCCCTTGTACAAGGGCTTCTCAGATTCCAATTTCACCAAGGAATGCTTTTTTTTAAGTCAAACACACACGTCTGGTAAAAAAGTTACATTTCGGCCCCCCGATTTCAGCCTCGATCTGTCGCCATGTCCATTTAATCTACCGGGGGGCTTCAGAGGAAGGAATGAGGCTCTTGAACCAATCAGATTTCAAAGTGATCTCAAACCGACACCCCCGATGACATCAGCATTTTCTGTCCTCTGATTGGTTGCTTCAGCCAAAACCGTTTTGTTGCCATCCGCACACTTTAACACGCTTAATATTCAGCATCTCTTGGTGAGCATGATGTTTTCTACTTAAGCGTGTCACATGTCTGTCACGTTGTACGATAAAATCTTGGCGGTGAGCATCTCCAGATGACGTCGCCTTGTGCGGCCAAAGTCGTGTGCTGTGACTTTTCTATTGCGCTGATGGATTCTACGACTGTGGCGTGATGGCGGTGGAGTTGACAAAGCCTCGACTGAACAGGTGACTGGAGGAGGTCTTGAGTGATGCATAAGTCGGCTGAGAAAAAAAAAAAGATATTTTCGAATATCTAAGAAAATGCTGGCGGGGCTTACCGGGGGCTACACAGATTTCTGAGGGGGGCGGGGGGGGGCTGTAGCACCTTTCGAGCCCCGGTGGAGCGCCATCCTTGCTACTGAAGAGCCACGTATCAAATGCACACACATAAAAACACTGCCTAGAGCAGAAGAAGCGCAGGAAAGCAAACCCCGGCTGCCAAAAAAACACACACACACGCACACACACACGCACGCACACACTGTGGAAAGAACACCAAAAGGAGAAGAGGAAGGCTGTTACTTACAGAAGGAATGAAGACGGTAATCAGAAGCGCTGCAGCGGGAGAAAAACGGGGGAGACCTGGCACCGAGATCTGAGACCTGCAGGCTTTGGAGCGCTTCAGCCAAAGGGGGTCGGCCTCGGGGGAGCCACGGGGCTGCACGGCGTGTCACTTATTAGCCGGGTGGGTGCTTGGGACACACTGAAGGAATCCGAAGGATTTCGGTGTTGATGCGCGACGGAAATAAAAATAATCCCTTCGGGTCGGGTGGATAGTGGGGCGTGTGTGTGGGGGAGTTTTTTTTCAGTCGGGCCGTGACACCAGAGAGTGCAGGTAAAGGGGCAATCGCCTCTCCAAATGATGGAAGATGGCGGCGGTGGTGGCGGGGCATAAAAGAGCAAACGGCGAGCAGACGAAGAGGAGTGCTCGGCGCACCTGCTCTCTTTCCTGCCTCGCACCTGTTCGACGAGCGCGGCGGCTGCAGGCCTGCTGCAAAAACAGGGCTGCCGTCGCCTCGCCTCTCCCCTCCTCGCTGTCTCCCCCTCCCTTTTTTTTTTCCTCTCCCCAGCTCACACGCCGCTCGGAATGACAATGAGTGGCATGCCTCGCTTGTCCGTCCGTCCGTCTAGTGAGTCATCTTTCCAGCGGCGGCCTTCTTAAAGCCTCCCGTTCACTCGCCGCTCCATGGCACTTGGAAAAAAAGAGGCTTTTATCAACTCTGGTTAATTTGTTTCGCTTTCTTTTCTATCTACTGTGTACAGTCTACTCCATCAGGATGAAAAACAATTGCTCTGTGCTTTACCTCGCTCACAAGAAAACTACAGGGTAAGAGAAAAGGGGCGGGGGGGGCGGGAAAAGTGGGATCAAATTGTTCCTTCTAAAAAATGAGCGTTCCGTCTGCCCTGACAAGCAAACGGGGACGCGGTCTTCTCAGGAGGAGGAGGTGTGGATTTTCAATTACTGCTTGTGGAAGAGAAGGTCCGCCGCCAAATGTTGCAATCTCAACGGGAAATCCGAGGGATGGTTCCAGACGTGTCCGAGGGCTCCGCCGCCTCGCTGGGACATCACCGCGGCCTATTTGCTCTGCGATGATCCCCGACGAGCCGAATTATCCGCCCGACGGGTCGATGGCTCCGGACGGATGGTGGCCTCCTTCCGTGGGTTCCTTCCCCGAGTGCGCTGGGACCGGTTTAGCGAGCCGTCGCCCGGGGGAGCGCGCTACCGCTGCACGCGGAGTCCACCTTCACATCTGGAGGAGACGGACAGATGGAGGAGAGGAGAAAAGGTTAGAACGCTCACGTGGCTCCTGGTCGCCTGTCGGGGAACCAAATTACAGCGTGGCTTGGACCCCCCGTCATGTTTTGGTTTGTGACCAACAGGTGGCACTGTAGGGCTCTCCCTGCAGCTGCACACCTGTTGGTCGTTATGTCGCTGTTGTTTTAAAAGGAATCCCAGCACGACCACTCGGTGTCAGGTCATTGTTTGTTTGTTTGCTACTATCATGTTTGTTTGTTTTGTCATGTTGAGGTCATGTTTCTGTTACGATTAGCTTTTATTAGCTTCTGCCATGGTGTTTGTTTGACACTTTGAACTTTGTTTTGGATTTAGTTTTCTGTTTTTTATCAATACGCTTCTTCAAGTCCACCCTGCTCCTCTCTCCTGCCTGCTTTTTTTGGGTCCTCCACCACCTCGCAACGTGACACCCCCCCTCTCCTGGCCTTCACTAATCCTTTCACGATAGCATTTAGAAACCGTAATCCAGGCCTTCGCGACATCTCAGCTGGATTACTGTCATGCACTTTCTTTTGGCGTCTCCAGTTGGTCCAAAATGCTGCTGCGCACCTCCTCACTGGAACTCGTAGGAGGGAGCACGTCAATCCAATTCTCGCCTCCCTTCACTGGCTTCCTGGAACATTTCAGAGTTCATTTTGAGATTCCTTTATATCTTTGAGTGCTTTATTTCAGTACCGCGCATCCGCATTTATGGGTTGAAGTCAACTCATCGCTAGCTAGTCACATGTGTGCGCTACGGGTGGATGCGATTCTCAAGTAACATGTTTACATTAATTGCCCCCCCCCCCTTCAAGTGTGAATCTTTTTCGCCCCAAAAATATGGCCGGATTTCAAGTTTGAAAAAGAGTCATCGAAGGGTGCGTGAGCTCCAGGGGGGTGCGTGAGATTAAAAACATAATGCTGGCGCAGAACCACACCACATTTAATTGCCCCCCCCCCCCCCCCCCCCCCGTGTTTCTTCTTTTTACAACCGCCTTTATTGTCTCTAAACTTTTTACGTTGTTTGAGGGGGTCGAAAGTGGCCGCCCGTGGGCGCGTCCGCGTTGCCCTGCGTGTTCACGTCCACCTTCGCATCGAGGATGGATGACGGACAAGTGGATGAAAGGTTAGCAGGCTGACATTTTGTGTCGCTCCGCTTTATCGTGAGTGTCAGTCAGCTCGTCTGCTCTGCCCTTGTCACCCCAACCCGCTTCCTCCCCACATCTCCTCTCGCTTAAATTCTCTCATTTGGGAAACACTCCACTGTGTCAGTTCCTCCTTTTAATTCCTCGGACCGAATTTGATACATTCACACCTGATAATTACACCTCTTGTCTGTCATTTGCAGCCAGTCCTCAATCTCAATCGTAGATAAATATTAAATGGTTTGGAAGTGTTTGTTTGTTTTTTTTTAACACTAAAAAAAGCATTTCCTCCCTCACGAAACACCAGGTTAGCATGGTGGAGTGTAAAAATGATTTCATTTTCAAAAGAACAATAAAAGGGAGGGGGATGGGGCGTGAATGGAATTATCAAAATTTTTAATAGCCTTTCAAATAAAGCAAGTATCAAAGTAACAGACAAATGAATATGACAAGACTTGGGGAAGTGTTGCAGTTTTGCTTTTGTTTTTACTTTTTTTAAAATCAGCAAGAGAAGGGTGCACCAATCCACTGCCACCTGTGCTAGAATGCTGAAGTGGGTGCATGACCTTTTTTTTTTTTTTTAACTGTAAATAATCCAAAAATACTTTACAAATTCTGCTTTGATGTTCTACAAACGGGGGTGCGCACACTGGGTTTGGATGTTGAAGGGCTTGCATGCTTTGAAACCTTTGGGAAATTTCACGCATTTCAGGCAGGGACTCATATTACGGTGTGCGCACCCCTTAATATCGCAACCCCCAGGAGTGCGCAAGTAACGGTGGGCAAGGACAATCATTTGGGCGATATCAACTTTCATTTGCATGATTACTCATGATGCCTTGAAACGGGCTTGCTTTTAACTCTTTACAGGGTGTGCACAAAGGAGAAGGGGTGCACCATCTCTGTTTGTAAAACCTGAGAAAGGCTGTTCTAAAGCGCCACAAGATCAAGTCTAACATTGCGGCGTAAGATATGACGCATGTACATTGTTTGCATTACGTCGGGCAGGTTTAAAAGGGTTCGCGGAGGTGCGCCAACTCTGTCGAGTGGAGCGCGTGGCTTAAAAAGTTGGAGAGAGATTGACATTAGGCACACAAACAGGCAGGGAAAATTAATTTCACGTTTCTGGCATGACATTGTGACTTTAATGGACGTTTCAAAAAGGGCCACACAGTTGGCGATGCCCAGCATTGAACAGGCGCTATTTTCTATGCTGATATGAATCCCCTCAAAGTGCTGTGATTAATTCCATTGCCTTGATCGTGACTTTATTATTTTGTCAGCCTAATTTGTGTTGTCACAAATCAGGTGGCCCTTTTATAAAGTGCCAAGGCATATTGTCACAGAGGGAAGCTGACAGGTATGAAAGTCGATCACAGATGGTGAGCTTAGACAGACTTGGCGGACGACGTGACTTTTTTTTTTTTTTTTGCCCTTCCCCTCGGTTTATTTCACACGAGCTTTTAAAGCAAAAGACCTCTGGCGGATGTCAAATCTTAACTCCGTCTCAACAGGTTGTCTCCACTATTGTTACTATGCAACAGTTTTGCACGTGTTGAATGTCTGAGCGCGAATCCCGGGGCAGCAACAAGCGCTCGAAGCCCAGAAGAAATAAATGCACACAGTACCGACTCGATCATCTGGCGGTGAGTGACCCGTAAATTGGACGGCCCATTTGGGATGAGAACAGTGGAGTCCATTCAACATGCACGGCGATCAATACTGCCGTGTGGACATACGTGACCCTGCACAGATGACCCATTTTCTCCGTGGACCATTTAAAATGGCATGACCAGAATGTCTGTGTGTGTGTGTGTGTGTGTGTGTGTGTGTGTGTGTGTGTGTGTGTGCGTGTGTGTGTGTGTGTGTGCTGGCTATATCTAGTCCTTGAAGCTAATTGACAAATAATCGTGCCCGTGCGTACGAGTATCGCTATACAGTCACAGTTTTGCTCACAATCAGATAAAATCTCAGAGCGACTTTGTCTTTGAAGGACACGGTGTGGGGGGGTGGGGGGCAAAATGGCCACTTACAAAATGGCAGACCTCCCTTTGGTTTTGGGCATAGCTCCGTAAAAGTTTTTCGTAGGTTTGCTCAAGATTGACGTGGCTCCCAAATTTCAACGTCCCTAAACGCAAACTGGATTCCGGGGATGAATTTTCCCGAAAGATTACACAGACGACAACCAGACGTATTTTCCTTGCTTCAAAACCCTGCTGTGATGGAACGCAATGGCAAAAAGTCAAATTGCTCACAATTAAGTGTCGCCCATCTGTTTATGATACTTGGTCCGCATTTGGTCGTGATTGGAAAAAGCTCAAATGGCCGCTTCCAAAATGGCCAATTGTTCTACTAGAGATAGACGTGGCTGCCAAAATTCATGGTCCAAAGGGAAATAAAAACAATAAAAAAAAGAATTTAAAAAAAAAATAGTGCAATTGAATCAACCGAACATACGTAGCATGTTGCCATGCTCATGACAAGATGTCAAATTTCCTCGCAATTTAGCATTAACCATTCATCAAGTCTATGCAGTTCAAAATTTGGTCCCAATTGGACAAACACTCGAGGAGAAGTTCACTTTTGAAGGTCAAATGGTCGCCTTCAAAATCAAGGCTTCAAACCAAAATGGCGTTTGTGAGTTGAGTCATGACAAGCTGACCAAATCTGACGTCCAACCGGGAAAGTGGCTTCACAGGCTGAATTTTCAAGATTATTTTTGATGCACTATAAAAGGAAAATGTGATTCCAGACTCAGTTCCAAAAGATTTCTGCCCAAAAACATGGCAACCTTATTTATTCTGTCTGTAATGCGGATTTGAGAATTAGAATTGTCATCTTAAAGGATAATTAAGACGTTCGTGCTGGGGAAAATCACATTGCAGAGATCCACGTTGCACAAGTCTTCAGTCCATGTGTGTGTGCATGCGTGTGTGTGTGTGCATGCGTGTGTGTGTGCATGTGTGTGTGTGTGCGTGTGTGTGTGTGTGTGTGTGTGTGTGCGTGCGTGGTCACGAGCGCAGCCTTTATCGCCACGATTAACATGTAATCGCGTAGCGGGTGTGAAA